TATATCTCAGCAACTATAAATTGTATAATATGGTACTCTTTTATATAGATATATCTGGTGTATTATATCATCTGCACAGCAATAGTGGATCACTGTGACCTATATTTTATGCTTTAATTACTTATAAGATAAGGTTAACATTATTGTTATGTTTAAGTTCATAACTATGTAGCCACAATTACCAAGTTTGTGTCATTTTGTATTTAGATATGCACCTAAGACAGTGGCGAAAACTACAAATTATTTCTTGACATACATAGCAAGGAAACTAGGCAAACTTTGTATTCAGTGATAACCTATGTTTGAGAACTAACTTTTCATATATTAAAATTTAATTTTTTCATTTTACATTGAAAAAAAATTAAAAAGCATGATATGATTTGTGGAATTGATTTTATTTACGACATGCTGTTCAAGTATTATTAATCATGGGGAACCAATTTTCTTGGGTCTGACAAACAACATAATTTAGAACCTGACTAAGATAAATTTCAGACTGAATTTCAATACTGTGGATTCATTATTATTCTTTGGATACCAATTTTCGTTGAATTCGTGGGTACAGGTCAGCCACCAATTTTAATAGTCAACAAATTACAAATTTTTTATCGGCTTGTATGCAGTCTTTGGCAAAACCAAGAAATTAAATATCCAGGAAAATTTGTACCAAGAAAATAAATGAATCCACAGTATGCACTTTGAACTGGTACTTAAGATTTTAAAAAAATCAAATAAGCAGTAAACTCTGTACTTTATAATACAACCGGTGTACCTTGGGCTTAAGGAGGAATAGGTGTTATACCCCACAGAATCCTTTGGTGTAGCGTAAAAATTCCTAATATTGTACATGTAGGCCACTGGCATGGATGGAATACACCGGTAAACTTAGCTTGCTGTAAATCAAATCATACATATTAACTGTTTGTTGTTTGAAAGAAAAACAAATTGGTGTCAAAGATAAATATGAATAAGACAATTCAATGATCTTAATACATATACATATATTTTTTTGGTATCGAAATATTAGTTTACCATTTTCTACAATTTGTTTCTTTTAATTACTGGTAGTCTTTCTTACAAAAAAAAATAGACAACCGAAGTGTTAGTCAAAAAGAAGGGCATACCCGACAATCAATGGAAAAAAATACAAACCCAGGAACGGAAACGACACACAATAAACACTTATCACTGAAAACTTTGAGAGAAGGAATGTCTGCTTTCATTTTGAGGTCAATAGTCAAAAAAATACAAGGCTGCGCTTTCTTTAAGATTTTGGTCTCAGGATGATCAAGCTTCCCTTCAGTGATTGAAATAAATATATGCATATGACAATTATTATTTTGGACTATAGTATTTGGCTTCCCGTCTATCAGTCCGTTATTTTTTCAGACAATATGTTATGGTGAAGAGGAAGAACCTATTGATTTTGAGTTCCGCAGGTCAAAGGTAGAGGTCACAATGTCTAAAAATAGATCCTTCACTGTAAAAATTGTTTTGGATGATAACTTCTGTTTACCATGGTAGTATTTGATGATTTTTACACAGAATTTAGATATGGCGACAAGGAAGAACCTTATTGATTTTGAGTTCAATAGATCAAAGGTCAAGGTTATGATTGCTAAAATAAATTTTTCATTATGAAAATTGTTTTCTGGGCAATAACTTACGTATGACTTGGTAACATTTGATGATACTCAGGCATATGCTATATATAAAATTGAGAATGGAAATGGGGAATATGTCAAAGAGACAACAACCCGACTAAAGAGCAGATAACAGCCGAAGGCCACCAATGGGTCTTCAACGTAGTCTTCAACGCAATGGTTACAAAGGTGGATGACCTTGAGCACTATTCTTATATTTTAATTTGAAGTCGTCAGATTAATAGTGTAGGTCACTGTTACTGAGAATAAAGATTATTAGGAGCAACCAAATTTCAGCATTTTATTAATTACACTGTCCTCCATCTACAATTTCTATGCCATACAATAACCCAATAACACCTTCATGGAGTCAAGAGTTGTGAGTTGTAAAATATAAAAAGAAATATAATGGCATGTTTGTTTTGGTTGAACAAAGCATGTTTAAAAAGTGTTGCAAAACAGATATATAAGTAAGTAATTAGCAGTTAGTATTGAAATGGTTTAAATCTTAACTTGTTTGTTTCCAAGGTAACCAAAGCAGAGTGAAATATTTATTTTCTAAACAAAAAAGAAGAAATTGATGAGTATAGAAATCAAACTCAACTAAATATATGTACTAAGTATTTAGTTTAATTAAATGAGTTCCATGTGCTTAATGTAAATTATGTTGGTCATTAAAGATTTCAGCTTTTTCATGTTGGTTGCTAAGACTTTTTTTTAGGTTGCTATGATCTTATTACAATATGTAGTAAAAAAAATCTATTTTTGTCTTTCTAAGCAAATATATTTTCGTTATTGTTTCCTGTTGAATTGCATTCACAGATCTAGTAGGCAAAATCTTCATAATGAACAAGTATTGTGTTCTTGTCATTTTTATGAAATTTGCACATTTTGGTTCCCATGGCAACAAAAAAAAACCAAAAAAAACCACAGATTTCTTTTTTCTGTTTTCAATTGTTCAAGATATGGAATTTAAGATGCAATCATATTGAAAAAAAAAATCATCTGCCCAATGTCTATTTTATTTGATTGAAAATGTCATTTTTGAGCCATTTCCAAAAAGTGTGAAAATACAGATTTTTTAGCAATTTTTTAAAAGACCATTTTAGCCATATCAAAAAAAAAAATTCATAGCCAAGACTCAAAAAATAAAAATTTCAAATAATGAAAAAAGATGTGATGAATTATTTTTTATGTTAATACTCTTAGTAAAAAAAAATTGCTGCAACCTAAAACGCATGCATTTTTCTTCTTTTCAATTACGATTTCATATTAAATCCTAAAAAAATGCCAGCATGTTTCCTTAGCAACCGTTCAATAAAATAAAAAAATAAGCTTGGAACTTTATTTTATCCGTAGCTGTCCACAATATAAAAGAATAAAGAAATTCTGAAACACACATGAATCACACCCTGCCTGGATCTTACAAATTGCTGTACTTAAAACTTTTTTCCAACAATTGTGCCTGTGCATTACCCTATCCCCGTTCTGTTGATGGACTCTGCCATGTTGCAAGTCAAACCTTTTCCCCCGAAATAGTGTATACTTTCCAAAAAGAATAATGACAACAATATAAAGAAAATAAAATTCGTAATACGGACTACGTCCTCTTTCACAGATAACACCTGCCTCATATTATAGATTATCGGTCGTCCCACTGTATGTAACGTGAGGGTACCCAAATTACACATATTCTGAGAGTTTTTTCACCTACGTTTATTCATGATCCGGACAAAAGTTTCCATTCTGTGTTTATTTTGTAGATGTATCCTTATTAACTATACAGTTCCACCAATTTAATTTTGAATCAATAGTGATTTATAGAAAAATGGGTTTGAACCGACCTGCAAACAATCAATTATTCTGTTATGAGGAGTACCCCAATTTCATCCATGCTTCAATTCACATCTGTACAAATGGAATAACTGATAAAGTAAGATGACTCTTGCTAGATTTACTGTTAAAGATCGATAACTGCTATCAGATCAGTATTTAAAAAGTAAGAGATACGGGGTAGAATTAAGAAATCGCTCGAAAAGAGATGCATGATAAAATTTTCTTTCAAGTCGGCCGCTTAGATATACAATAACTTGTTATCACGAAAAAGACTTGAACACCAAGGCGGAAAAATGTTGTTTTCAGAGGCTTGAAAAAGGCTTGACGGGAAAGCGACTGCTTTATGGTGTCCTAGTCACCATCTTTGTATATTTGAAAAAAAGTGTGGGAAATCCACTTTGATATCCATATGCTGCTTGTGCCATACTTCAATAAGCATAAGATACTGGTAAAATACTTACATAATTTTAACTGCTCAAATATGATGTCTAAAATTTTAACATTAAATCATAAATAGTGATTTTCTATTAATTTTTATTGACACAGGAACTATATATGCAAGTGTATTTATTGAAAATTTAGTATGTATACAAATTTAATATTTACAATGGACGAGAATGCGTAGTTATATATCCCAAATAAAACTACACATCCAGCGTGAATGGTTTGAACTGCACGAGGAGAACTACCTTTTCTTACCTATCCCATCTGGTGCCAACGTTTTTACCTATCTCATCCAAAATATTTCCCGAGTGATTCACTCTAAATCAAAATGTGTTGTTGTCAATGATTGTGGTAGTTAGTCAATTCAGAACTGACTTCCGGTTGGCAAAAATATCGCTTTCCATAAATCAAAACAATAAGTTATCAAAATGACAGAAAGACGGGTTTTAATTTATTCCTTGTTAAAACAATCATTGTCCATAACTCTTGAACGTCACGAGAAACAACAAATACAAGTTTAATCAAAATTTGAGCCAGCTCTCAATTGATTAACCGACATAAGTTGCCAATTTCTATTGAATTTATTTATAAACGACCATTATTGATAATTGACAAAAGTGAAAATCGACGATTCGTTAATACCGAACGGGAACTCCATTCTATCAAAAGTAACGACATATTAAAATTTGAAAAGCAATGGTTGAACGTTCTGAATTTATTGCACAAAAACAGTGGATCCACAGGTCCGCCATTCGTTTCCAAATAAATTATCGGATTTTAACGTTGGAAACTGTTACTCCAGCGTATATATTGCGATACACTATCATGTAAACGTGTGTTCATGAACCATGACGAGGTTAAAAAATGGCAATTTTATACCTTTCAACTTTCTGAAATCATAAACTCTAACATGCAAGCATATAAATTAAAGGTTTAAAATATTTGCCATATATATAATTGAAAATACACAGTTAGTGTATGTAAAGACAAACATATCTATTATTATGCCCAGTTCAAAGTACATGGTTATGAATGAGTACTATAACATTATCAGGGGGAAAATGATTATCAAACTGCAGCATTTTATTTTTTATTTAAATTATAACCATAATTAGTTTGTACATTGTGGGTCTATATAAAAGAAACACATACAGGCAGATATCAACAAATTTGAAAAAAAGTTTGCTAACATTGGATTGATTTTCTTAATGCCAAAAAAAATCCTTTCTACCTAGAACACACTACACAAGTCAGTTCTCGACCACTGAAATACTTGGAACAATCCAGAGAGCCGCATACTACTTCTACAGGTGCAATCCTAGCCTGGTTATCTTTAGCACTAGAGCCTGGGATTTGGACTGGCGAACCATCATAACAGATGTATTCAGATCTTTTTCTGTTCGATGTGGACATTTCTGACATGAGGTAGCCATTATACTGACTCGTCCACCCTTGTGGACACGTAAGCCGTGCTGGAACCATTAGAATCGATTTACTGTTAATGGTCTGGCAGACGACACAAGTGGAATCATGATCTTGCAAATACGAAGGGAAGGGTTTGCCAGAACTGGTTTCCATCTCCACACCAACTAGGACAGCTCTTTTGCTGTTAAATGCTTCAGAGTAGTCACCCCACTCCGGGTTGGTTGGTAAACAGAGATAATTGGATCCAGATCCACCGAAATTATGTTTTGGTCCAGCCATGTAACCTGTTATGTACAATACTAATGTTATCTAAGGCCAAGTGAATCGCATCTTTATATTTTGTCGTGTAATGATTTAAACTAAGAAAGCATCACTTATCGAAATTTTGCTATACATTATATAACAATGTCATACAAATAAATAAAACCCAATCATATTAGAAAATGTGGCCATGTTTAACAGAATTGTTAATGTTAAAGTCAGTCTTCCTAGCTTACATGGACTTAATTTGCTCGCACATGTGTACATACATATTTATAATTATAAATATATATATTTAAAATGTAGTTTTTCAAAGTAAAGTGCATTCAGTTATCAATTTAGAAAAAAAAACCACTTGACACTAGTTATTTCACATGAAATAAATGGAGAAATGGGTGCCCCCGCTTGCATGTAATGATATAAAGGGGAATAACTCAAAACGGTAAAAGTGACGCCATCCAAATTCGAGCTTGATCTGTGTTTTGTGGCAATAAGCATTGTGTATAAGTTTCATAACATTTGGTTGAGGTAAACTAAAGTAAGAGAACGGAAACCAATTTTGGGACGTGCGTACGGACGGACGGACAAGGTAACACTTAATTCCCCCTCCGGTGATGGCGGGGGCATAAACATAATTTACATAGGTGAATTCCCAAGGAATTTCATGTTTTTGTAACTGGTTAATTTTCTTAAAACAACCTCTCAGATCTGTTTCATTATTATAATCAAATATTATTGTAAGTACACACTGTGTGACATCACAATTAAGTTTGAACCATTTGAATTTAAAATTTATTCCACATTAAGTACATTTCTGGAAAGCTTCCAGACATTTCACTTGTGAGAATGGGACAATAGTTCCATACATATGTCACGGAATATAGTTTGGAAAAGGAGATGGAAAATAACAATAGTCCCTGCATTAGATGAGGAAAATAGTTTGGGTAGGGAGAGAAGAACAAGTCAATAGAACCTGTATATGGGGAAGGGAAGCTTCATGGTAGTATTATTTTGGTATTCATAAATAATTAAAAGTTTTGATTGTGTTCTGCGGAAATGGTTTCGACAAGCAAAAGCAAAAGAAAATTCCAGCGTTCAATTAACTGCGTTTTGATGTTGATGGGATATTGTTTAAAGCAAGTTTTTAACTTAAAATTTTCCCTTAAATATTATTTTATTAAAAATGATTTAACTCAAAAGGGGATAAAAATATATCTCCCAGCTGTTCAGTCGAACGTGAAAACTTTGCAACCATATGTACAAAAATGTAGCTGGAATTAGAACAACAAACAGGTGTAAGATAATTAAATCTGCTAACTTCCTGATGTCAAAAATATTAAATAATTAAACAGTTTTATGCCCAGTTCTCACAAAGGCTGGCAAGCTACTTTATAATTTCCAAGAATTGCTGAAAATAATTTTTAAACAATTTGGTGACTGAACTAATAATGCCATTCAAAACTTCTTTTTCTTTTTTTTTGTTGAAAACAAAATGTAAGTAATTGGATACCTAGTTTGTGGCACCAAAATAGCATTAAAATCCAAATAAAATCAGACGAGCATTTATATTTTATTAAATGTGAAGATTTTAATATATAAATAACACATAGCTGACAGGATGATAGAGCAGATTGTTACCCCCTCGAAAAGACAATGTCAACCTTTGCTTCGCCTCAGTTGACAATGTTTTCAATCTGCTCTATCACCCTCTCAGCTATGTGTTATTTATATAGTGTTCAACAGCATTAAGTAGCACTGAAGAAAAAACCCAGCTTTTTAATGTATTATACTGAATGTTTTTTGTTATTACAGTCTATTAAATTTCAAATTCAAAGTAATAAACTATGTCGTCTTGTACATAACAATCATCCGTATTTATTAAAGCGCACACTTCAGCAAGCGTCTCCGTGAAGGGTAATAGAGTACTTGCCATGGGATAGAGTAAATTGTCTCCCTCGTATTAACCAATCAAAATCTGGCATTTTGACATGAAGTATGATAAATCATATTGTATCGTTAACTAAAATGAATTAATTTGTATTAAGTGTAATCATATTTTATCAAAGAATTCGTTATGTATATATACAAGAGAAACTAAATACAAAATATATACGTAATTCAAAAATTGGGATTACGAAACAAGAACAGTGCTCTAAAGTGTCCTTCCATTTCATTTTTAAATGATTAGCACAAATTTTGACAATTGTATAAGAATTCTATTTTGAAACATCTTTTAGTATTTACGATTTGCCACGGTAGAATGTTCTAAAATACGCAAAAATGTTGTTAAAACTTCAAAGAACTTAAATGAATTTATAATGTAGCGAATTTGAGTAAAGATTGAAGGATGCTTCAAAAAACGGCCCATGCGTAAAATAAAATCAGGGGAAATTGACCTAACCTCTTTGAAATATTTAACCAAAGCTGCAACATTTTGGTAAAACTAGACAGTGTATCATCCCATCATAAAAAGTTTTAGACGAATACAGTTTAGATTTTATCAAACTAATTTCTGATGAACTATCTTAATGATTAGAAGTTGCATTGTATATTTTAAATTCCGTATTGTATAAAGATAAGGAGATGTCGTATGATTGTTAGTGAGACAACTATCCACCAGAGACCAAATGACGTAGGTATATGTGACTATAGGTTACCGTACGTACGGCCTTCAACAATGGTGTTCATTTTAGTGGTAAAATTGCTAACTTTTCTATATGAAAGAATAAGAAGAATTTTATGCTAAATATACATTTTTGAGGTAGACTTAATGTTATTTGTTTAAAAAAATTAAGATAGAACACACATTCAAAGCCACAATTCTTTAAAAAATGACTTAGAAATGACCAAAGACTGACACATTAAATTTCACTACTATATTTGTACATTGAAAGTACTAGTAAATGAAATGTCCTATGTTACATGGAGTAGCCTAGGCTTACAAAATGCATAGATGGAAAATCTTTATAGATGTAAAACCTACCGCTATAAACCTTTTCGCTCGTAGGTGGACACTCAGAACGACCCCATCTGATGAATGTAGGTCCATTACCTGTAATGAGTAAATACAGTAATTAAAAATTTACAAAGACTGGAGGGAAAAGGTGTATATGTTTGAAACAATATGTTTATTTATCTATATTGATGATCATAGTTTAAAGCAATCACAACAAGCAGGTGGTATTTGCCCTTTTATATTGTTACATAATTAAAACAATGTAAAGATAATATATATTTTTCATTGAGATTGATTCTTTCTAGAAAAATGGGGGGGGGGGGGGGGGGGGGGGGGGGGGACAATTTGCTCACACATTGTTGTCAATATTATGGAATTGAATTCTTTATGACCGTCTGGCAAGTGAGAGGTTTAGCTAGCTATAAGACCAGGTTTAATCCACCATTTTCTCCATAAGGAAATGCCTGTACCAAGTCAGGAATATGACAGTTGTTTTCCATTCGTTTGCTGTATTTGAGCTTTAGATTTTGCCATTTGATAAGGGACTTTCCGTTTTGAATTTTCCTTGGAGTTTTGTTATTTTACTTTTTGCTGATAAGTTGTTGATTGGTTTGACGACAATCTTTGTAATAGCACAAGATAGTGGAATAACAGTTACAAAATAGTGGATTTTTTTTTCGCAATATTTTTTGTAAACATGGATTTACTCGTTTCAACGGATTCTGTGGCGTAATTGCAGACAAAAATGTATGCCGATTATGTGTGAAAAATTCGCTTGTTGCAAAAATGCGTCCCATTGCGCCATAATTCGATTGCGCCAATGATACGTTTGCGCCACTAGTTTTCAAAATACCTAGTATCAGCTACGCCAAAAATAAAGTATACGATTGCGCCAATATAAAAAAAAAATCTTCATTCTTTATCTGGGCTTAAGACCGACAGTTTCCTATGCGGAGCTAAAACATTTTAAGTCATTCAAAAGTACATTTAAAACATATTACTATTTACAGTCAGACAACATAATTAGATTGAAAGCTTAATGCTCATGTTATAAACATAAATTCTACGGCTAAATTGTCCTCTTGTAAAATTCGGATACTTTTCTGAGTTGTGCTTGCTTCTAATTGCTGCTGCATTAGAATTGCGCAATTTAATGTAGGTAGTGGCTAGACATTTTACAATGTTGTCCAAAAATGAATACATGGATGGATGCGATGAATATATTAGTTCAAATCGATGAATTATTTATTCATGTTTTATGCGATAACATACTCATCATTCCTTTGATTTTTTAGCTCAATATTGCCATTTATTTCATAAATTATTCTTTTTAAGGTACCTAACTTTATCCATTATTATTATGTATGATAAATATATGTTCAAGTAAATTTGGGTAAATCAATTTTGCATATTGGCGCAAATGATACCTTTGAAAAATAATATTTGGCGCAAAATGATACATCTTGAAAATAACAATTGGCGCAAAAGGACAACAGCCAATTGGTTTGTATCTTATTACCTCTGAGCTGATAATCTGATCTGGATTCAATTTCTTCTAGAGCTTCCTCTAAATCATAACCGAGACATTCAGACGCCAACAATAGGCCAGTCCATAATACCAAACACTGGCGGAAATGTCGGAATACCTGAGGAAAATTTCATTAATTTCATGAGTACTTTATATTGCATGAGCGAGAGATGCTTGAACGTTTGAATAATGGACATCAAATAAAACTTCTATATATATATATGAAGTGGCTTGTATCTTTGACAAATTGTATTACTAAAACACCCCCCCCCCCCCCCAAAAAAAAACCCAAATTAAAACAAAACATACAAAAGAAAGAAAGAAAGATATGTAACAAAAAAACAACTCCTTCATAAATATAAAATAGTATTACCTTCTCCATTTGATGAAAATATTTATCTGTTGGACCTGTATAGTTAAGTCTGTAGTTCAAAATGCTTCAGGCAAAAACAAAATTTAATTATTGTTCAGATATCATCTGTTTTATGGATGGATAGCTGCAACAGACTCGCACCAATTGATTTATTGACGATATTTACATTACATTACATGTATGTTCCATAAGAATCCATACTTTTGATTAACCGACAACAATCGAGAGGCATTTGAAAATTAGATATGGTTTCCCAATAAAATGCAAAATTCATGAAAAGACGTGCTTCCCGTTACAACGTCCCAGCGATGCAAAGGAAAAGACTAGAATAATTTGATATAACGGTTTTGACATAAAAATATAATTATAAGAATTGAATGGTTCTTTTTTAAATTTCACAGTTTTAAGGTGTTGATCGTGCGCACACTAAGTCTTATAGTATGAATGCTTCGGACAATGCTTTAACACCACAACAAAATTACAAAAAGAAGCATTCTTAAATAAATTGTTTACATTACTGTATTAAATTTAGTTCAACATCTTATTATTTTAAGATTGAGAGATTAAAAAAAAAATAACGGTTTTCCGGCAGATGTAGGGAGGAGAAACTTTCCCTTATATCCGCCAACGCAATTTTTTGGCCAACAAACTGCACGTCTCTTCACAAAAAACATAATACACACTCAATTATTTTTTAATTTAAAAAAACAAAAAAAACAAAAACAAAATCAATGTTAAAAAACCTTATTCAAAGATCTTACTACGCTGTTAAATTAATAACCTTTGAGAATAAGTTTATTCGGTTTAGGTTAAACATATTTTTATTTGCAAAAGTAGCATAAAAGATTGGACACAATTTATAACAACATTAATGACGTCCTCTCCCTATACAAATATAACATATATTACATTTGATAATGACGAAACCAAATAGGAATGTATGTAATAACAAAAGAAAAAATATAAACAAAAAAACAAAAATACAATATAATATGAAATTTAAGTCAAGAAAGGTCTGGACTGAAGTGTGAATCTAGGTGTTATTCTGATATTAGATTGTACAGACTAAAATAAATCTATATTTTACTGAAAGTTAAGGCCACCATCACCAGCCGATAGAAGCTAAATTGATATAGGATATCTTTTTAATTCTAAACACAATGTTTCTCTTATTTCATTGTGAAAAGGTCAAGAAGACAATCCTCAACAGGATGACTACATGCATCTGCATGCGGGATGAGGTTTAATATTAACACATTACAGATCTGCATTTAAAAAAACTGCACGTTCTTCTCAAACGTGTATGAATAATATTTAGTTTCTATCACCACAACTAGAAATAGAAGGGTGGCTGTATCAATTTAGTTTTCATCTTTAGTATGAATATATTTATATTGCGGGAAGTTTATTCAAATAATGAATGACGATTTCTTTAGTCCTTTGTTATTCAAATGTTGTTTTTTTTTTTTTTATAAAAGATGAGTACATGTACGAGATATTAGGTGTGTTTTTATCACTACATGAATCGTGTTGATGTGAATATGTCACTGATAAGAAAATTACAAGTATGTTTGTAATGTCTTTTGTGTCAGAGATATAAAAGCAAAAGGTAAGTTTTATATTCAAATATACTGTGCGAAAAAAGAATGTAGAAATATTTGACTCATTAATTATGCTCATACATCAAAAACGTAGACATAAAAAGCTTCATTTTGATTCAACATGTACAATTGAAACAGTTTTATAAAAAAATAAAACACATTTATAAAATTATAAAAGAAGCCGTGTAATGTTTAAATGACCTTTCAACAATTCATATCTTCATTGTTTTTATTAGGTTATTGATTTTCATATATTTTGGCCTAAAATATCCCTGAAGCGACAATAACTGTCGAATTGCGGAATTTGAGAGTTAAACATAGACCCGTTTATATTAGACGTATTAGGAAAGGGATTTAAATACTGCACTGATCTTAAATACCAATACCGATACAAGATTTAAGCGTGGACTTTCTCAAAATGCAATTGCATTGAAAAGTATCCCGGCGTAGCATAGTTTAGCTTTGTGGTGTGTTTGATACAATATGAAGCGAACGGTTAACGTCGACTCCAAATTTTAAGACTAGCATTGGCCTCTCGTAGATCTTCATACATTCATTTGTATTTATTTGATTTAGGAGTGCAAAACAAAATTTAAAAAAAAATATATGTAAGCTAAAGGGTCAAGAATGGGAATGACGGATTTTTACGGCCACAAGTCGAAATATATACATTAAATGATATGAGTAGAATATGTTTAATAGTCATATAACCCAATTTGCCTCTCCACAAGTCCAGCACACAATTCTACAATTTAACTTGATTCGTGTCTTGGATGTCTCCACAAAGTTCCGACAACCCTAAATGTTTCAAACGTCCGATGGCGTGTTCGACATAAACTAGACATTCTGAAACTTTTCTATTTAGTTCTTTGCATTTTCTTTTTTCCTTTTTCGGTTTTGTCTTATTTTGTGTCTCCTATATGGCGAAACAATTGGTGGAAGGTTCGCATAAATCTTATCACATAAATTAACACAGTTTGGAGGGAAAACCAATTCCAAGTTGTTGCCAATTCTTGGAAGAAGGATGTCTTGCTGCGCATCGTTTTAATGTTCAAGAAAACCTCTTTTCATGAGCAATATGTGATTCGTATCGTCTATTACTATCTGGGTTTGAAACAATGAATGGACAGATAGACGAAAGAACGGACGGATGGACCCATTCATCTACCACTATATACCGTCCAATTTAGAAAGCGGAGTGTATAGTGAATATTAGGCAAAACAAAATGAAGGAAATCGAAAAAAAAAATTGCCCGATATATAATTTAGCAGTCTTTGCAAGAGGTGAAAATGAATATTCCATTTTCAAAATATCATCCTGACCCAAAGATAATAAAATTAACTTCTCCATATGAAAGTTTAACGCCACTTTCAACAATATCTCAATTTAATCGTGGTGTCCTGTTTGTTGGTGGAGCAAGCCGCGATACCAATAAAAAGAAACTCCCAACCCTTCACCGAAACGTAAATTTAACATGTTTGAATAGTGCCCGAATGTGGTAATCTTTTAAAACTTAATTCGATAACCTCTTTTGTCCGAAAAACTAACTGACAAAAGTTGATAGAAAGTTAAAATATAAATGAAAATAAATTAATTCACACATTGTAACGTTTTTTTTTAAGGTATTGTCTCTTTTCAGCATTACATTAAATTACCAGAGTGACCTTTCTAGATAAAATAAAAAGATAAAGATAATCAAATTGAATACATCTTTGTTTCATTCTTTTATTTGCTTTAATTGTCAAGTACACAAATTTCTAGTTTTTTTTTATTAGAATTTTAAGCTACACATTTCTCTATTCTAGAAAATGATATGAAATAAGGAGATGTGGTATAATTGCCAAAGTAGACAACTATCTACCAGTGACCAAATGACGTAAATGTTTGCAAGTATAGGTCATCGTATGGCCCCCAACAGGGAGCAAAACCCGTCCGGCATAAAAGCTGAAAAGCCCCGACATGAAAAGTATATTTTAGATAAATTTCAAATGAACGAACATTTTGAACAAAGATTGATGTAGAGTAAAAAATCTGATTCGGATGTGATTTGATTGCAGTGTTTTTTTTTAATTCATTTATTTTGATCACTTTGCAGATTTTCCTTGTAGTCGTTCAACAAAAAAGTAAGAAATATGGGAACAACGATCTTTAACTTAATCGATCGCTATGAAATAATAAAATTTTATGATAATAATATTAATAATGATTTTGTTGTTTTGCTGGATCCTCGCCCGTGTATTGCGAAATAAATTATTATTATTTTATTGTTTAAAAATCATCTCAGTATTATAAAACAAACTCATACAAGTAACTTTAATGAATGATAAGCTGTGCTTTTTGAGATGGTCCCCACTATAGCCTGTAGTGGTATTGGTATTTAACATCAGCGTCAAAATCGTATTGACTTTCCTAACACGTCTATTTATTCAATCATTTTGATCGCCCAGTATCTGTAATGCTGAAGCAAATTGCATTAAGCGAGTTTTGATTGAGCACTAACAAAGAAAACCATTAAAAAAACCCCAAAAAATCGTTATTTTTATGACACTGTTTAACATATTATAAAGAATAGCATTACTTTTGCTCATTACAATGAATTAATATAAAAAAGAAGATGTGGTATGAGTGCCAATGAGACAACTCTCCATCCAAGTCACAATGTATAAAAAGTTAACAATTCTAGGTCAAAGTACGGCCATCAACATAGAAGCATAGAAGGGTTAAAAATATAAGAGAACAATCTATTATCGTCCTTTTCTGGATTTCGATCCTTTTGTTTCACACGGGAAACTGTGAATTTACAAAAAATAACGAAAAAGAGAGACAATTTTTCGTTTCCAATTGCCAACTTTCCCTTTCTAGATGGTGATGTTCATTTGGCCATATCTTCCGGGTTGTATATTTCTTAGCTCATTCCCAATTCCCGTGTCTGCAGTAACGTTTTAAAATTTCAATGGACTTAATCTATGTATAACTGGTAGATTATTAAGTCAGGGATTTCGTTACCACAAATTACTTGAAACTTTAACTTAATTATGTTAAAGATGCAATTAATACAAATATTTGGTTTGAGAGTTTGGCTACACTGTAGAATTCTTATTACAAACGTGATACCACATCTTTGATTTTGCAGTAGCATTGTTTATAGAGCTCGTAAATGTAGGTACATCCATGTAAACTCGTTGATCCTTTGAATAAACTTACTCTTAAAGATTATCACTTTAACACCATAGTAAGCTCTTGTGTGAATATTGTTTTTATCGTTACCAAAACTGATTTTGTTTTTGATAAATTAAAACATAAGTAAATACCGGTTGCTATACAGTTATCAAATCCTATGGTCCTACATCCTGTCAATGCTATGTACCTCTATTTTTGGCATTTAACCAGGGCACGCTTTTCTCAGACTGTTTATGATTGATTGATTGATTTTTGGTGTTTTAACGCCACTTTCAAGCACCGCTTTTGGGCTATTTAGTGGCGGCAAGTTTTTATTGGTGGAGGAAGCCGGAGTGCCCGGAGAAAACCACCGACCTTCGATAGGAAAACTGACAATCCTAGTCAATTAAGATTGGAGTCGAGTGCACCCGCACGAGCGGGGTTCGAACTCACAACCTCAGTGTTGACTGGCTAAGTGATTACAGTAGTAACTACTTAGACCACTCGGCCACCGAGACCACGACTGTTTATGACATCTTTACACTAAATATATTGGATGAGTATTGATTGATACTTTAGTCTGGGAGAATATGATATATATTGAATTTTAAAGAGTCAAAATACGATGAACGGATTATATAAACCGGAGGGAAAATATAATACAAGCCCAAACGAAATACATATTAATATATATATATATATATATATAATTCGTCTAAACAACAGCCCAACAATGT